GGGCAGTGGCACAGAGAAAGAAATCGAGGTTACACGTAACGCTTCCGTGAATTGCGCCAGACACATAGCCATGGAATATCATGCAGCACCAGTTGTTTAACAGTCAGTGCGGCGTCGCAGCAACGTGGGCCTGATTCCTTGCTCATGGTAATTCGTGGTTAAGACAAAGATTGTTCATGGAGCGGATTCGAACCCAACAAATCCGGTAACAACTGGTCCCCTGAAGTCGGCTTCGCGATCGAATATTGAACAAGAAATTCACTTCGTGTTGCTTCCGTGCAGCTATCCAAGATTTCGTTAGCACGGCGTTAATTTACGAACAAGTGAGCGAGTACGGTGCTGTGCAGTGCTCATACCAGAATGGGCGAAGGTACGGTTCTGCTGTTGGATGCTATGGCGTCTTAAAGCTATAATTGCCCTTAACCCATATGGTAGCAGACTACTATTCGCTGTCATAATCGGCACACGGTGTAACGTAAGTAAACCCAACAAGAGAACTGATGGCGAAAAGATACGCTTGGAGGTCGTGCAATTGTTGACGGGGCTGTACACGACAAACATGACCGTTGTGTTATTAAATAGTCAACGTCAAAAACGCCATTTCTAAAAGTAGACATCAAAATGTTGCTTAATTTTCCTTTCGAAGCCTTTTTAGCCTGAGACCAGTCTGATAAAACAGTAACAACAACCAAACACGATGCTTAGTGATTGTCTGTTGTTTTCTAGTTTTCGCTGGGCTTTCAAACCTCGGTCGCTTTTCAGGTATGGTGAAGACGTGATCGTCACTCCGTTTGCGCAGATTCTGGCCAGCCTTCGGAATGTACGGAACAACGTAACTCTGCTTGCCAACATAAAAAACGAGTAAAAAGCACCGGTTTTTGAAAGTGTTTCGAATGTGCACGTTGCGTGTATGATTTGAGAACGAAAAAGCCGGTCACCCCGTCAGCTGAATCGCCACCGCCACCGCTGCTGCCGCCCGCCGCCCTCTTCGGCAGACCGATGTTCGGCGCCGGCGCCGCTGTGACTGCTCAGCTGAAGTCTCCCTCAACGGGCGATCAAATGCAAAGAGCTTTAGAAATCGTCGAAGAGCTTGATTGGTGTTTGGAACAGCTGGAAACGATTCAGACACACAGGTCGGTCTCCGACATGGCCTCTTCGAAGGTAGACGAATGATGAATGGTTTTTTTCCTTCATCATCTGCTTTCTTTTGCCGCTACAGTTTCGGAAAATGTTAACCAAAGAGCTTAGCCATTTTTCGGACTCCAAATCCGGCAACCAGGTGTCGAAATTCATCTTCAACACGTTTATGGGTAAACGGTAGTCCACTCGGCCGGCCACGTCATTCCATTCGTCTACTGATTTTCAGGCAACGAGCAGGACATCGACCTGCCGGGCGACAAGGCGAACGACGATGCTCAATCGGCGGACACCGAGACGCCCACTCAGTCGTGCGCGAATTCGTCTTCT